TCCCCCCGAATCCTCTGAGGCCATACTCATAAATTCGTTTCTTTTAAAATTCTTTGAGATGAAATTATGCCAAAGCATTATGAAACTATGTTACTCTTTCTGCAAGTAGGTATATGATTTTCCACATAATAATGAACACCCCTTCCCCCCCCCCGCCCTTTAAAAAAAAATTCGCGTGTGCCCTCTGGACAGAGTAGCATGTGCAAACCATTGTTGCTTTGATCACTTTGATCAGTATACTACATGTGTCAACAATTTATGTCCAGCCATTGGAGGTCGCATGCCTTGATGATCCTTTTGGCAAACTCTCGTGGACACTCCATGGCGGAAGGCATGAACGGGCTGGGCCATTTGCTTACATGTGGTTCACATGTACTTTGTCAAAAGATGTCTGCGTTGTCGATGCATTCTTTAGATGTAATCTGGGTTGGGCTTCCAAGGACAGCAGCTTGCGCCGCTTGCTCTTGGGCCCAGGCGGGAGGTTGCGAGCCATGGCCCTGAGCCCCCTCCGAACGGAAGCTCATGTGATCTCATATGATGTGGGTCAGCCTGACATGCACAAGCTTGTGTAAGCTGCGTAGGGATATTTATGGAATGGCTGAAGAATGTGGCGACAAGAAGATGATACTTTGGGGAGCAGACAGTCTTGAAATGGTTGTTTGCGCTCTGCCTGCCAGAGTCGGCGCGTGTGTTCAATGCTTTCAGGATGGCCACTGCGGATGCGATGAACAACCTCGCCACTTTCAACGATAAGGTGGCGCGACTTGTATTAGCCCCTAATGCGACTAATAACGGCAGACTGCAAGGTGCAATTGGGCAGCGCCACCGCGTCGGAGTTGTTGGCTGCCTCGCAACTCGTTGAACGCAAAACAGGTTACTCTTCAGATGACGGTCATGACCTTGCTGGCGGTTCGACGGTAAACATTAGTGCTTCAATGTGCTTCACACTGGGGATTAGTAGCAGAAGCAGGTGACCACCATGGGGAATAAACCTAACCGTTCAAGGAACTTCGAGAGATAACCGTAGAGGCTGTAGAGCGTTTATCTGAATGAACCGATATCCGAGCGCGTGCTTGTTGTAGTTTGGGGGTATATCGAATTAAATAGCTGTGGTGTAGGTTTCTTTGATGAGGAGGGCTTGTCTAGTTCATCATGACTGACATGCTCCGGCCTCATCGTGATACACAAGGTACAGCTTGCTGATGCCAGCTGCAACTGGAGGCTGTCATGGTTGCAGACCTTACGCTGCAGAAAACTGTCGCACTTTGCAGGCGTGAATCCGGCCATGCAAAATGTGGCGACTAGCAACTCGTTATGTGTCATGGCCTCAACACCCAGTACTTCCCTGCGCCTGTGGCAGTGTGCAAGTTGCAACCTCACAAGGTTCCGCTGCTTCCGCCAAACTTACCAAATTTACCAGGCCAAAATCTGCAAGAGAAGAATCAGCTTGGCTGGAAAGTCTATTGATCCTCTGCATGCAAGGTCTTGGTGACAATTCTGCATCGCAACTTCAGCTACAGTATTTGCAGCAGCTTGAGGCATTGGGTGCATACCCAGACACAGGCTGGCACCTGCCCACACCTCTCATACGTTGAGATGATCCTGTCCAGATGCCGACAGATGCGCGCAGGTATGTGAGGAAACCAGGGAAAGCCTGGCGTGCCCGCGGCTTTGCCAGCGGCTATCCTCGGACAATCCTCAAGTTGCTTTACAGTCGTTGTTAAACTCTGGTACAAGGGCAACTGACAGTTCCCTTTGCAGGGAGCAATGTGCTTTGCACAAAATTTTTCTATCAGTGCTTGTACTGTAGCTTGGCGAAGACGAGATGACAGTCAATACATCCGCAGAGGTGATTCGAGTGATCAACTACTCAAGTCAAAGAAGCATAGTCTACATCTACGTCTTCCGATTTGCAGATAGTCATTGAGTTGAGAAGCCAGGGACACCCGTCTCTGCGCAACTGCCTCCACAACCAGACTTTTTGTCGTCCACGTTTTTGTATCATGATGACGATCACAGACATGTGATACACAAATCACTTCTGTGTTAATGCTTTTTCTGGGGCCGCATGAGCGTTCTGTGCTCGTCGCCCCTGCAACCCGAGTCTGAGATCGTCTCAAGGTGCATGCAACGCTATGCACTTCAGTACGCATGCAGCGATAATTTGGGCTGGAGCATGGGTAGTCCAGGTAACAAGCATTCTTGACAGCCTACTGCCGGCGCGGGGCACTTCAAGCTTCTCCCGGGCACACCTTCACCTTATTGGAAAAAGACTGAGCGTAGGTCTTTACACTGTGACGTCCGCAACGTTTCAGAGCCCCAGAAGCCCAAGGCTAGCATGCAAGATCCGTGTAAACCGAAGCTGGAAGCTGGAGATCCTTTGAAAAGATCTCGCAGCAACAACAGCAGCTGCCGTAAAGGGCAAGCAGGCGCGGAAATGCAGCAAGAACAGCCAGATCCTCAGATAAGCGTGGACAGGCACTGCTGAGGGCACATCCCCCTCTGCTCAGGTCGTTGCAACTTGGGCCTGGATGGCTTGGGGCTGCTTCAGCAGAGATGGCAGTGCCTCTGCTGAATGCCTCCAATAGAGGCACAGCATTTGTAGTCAAAATGCAAATGCAAAGATTAGAACCTCAGAGCAAAGAAGACCGGCACTCAGATCTCTGCTTCACTGCATCAGCAGCCTGCACAGGGGATGTCGGCGAAGATGCCACGCGCGTGTCACCAGTGTTTAGGGGTTGGATGCCGATTTGCATTGGCAAGTTCCGACCCTGATCGCTTGCGCAGCATCCTCTGCATGATCTACTTGAGTGAAAGCCACTTTTCTTTGACGAGCAGTGTGCAGAAGAAAAGCGATGCCTGGTGCTTCCCGAGCAGCATGAAGGAAATGAACGCCCATCAACTAGTCAGTAGTGCTTTTTTTGACGGTATCTAAGCACCCCTCGTACATCGAGATCCTCGCTTTGCGTGGAGACTTACACGAACGTGCCATGATGACTTTCCATGAATCGATAACGGCTCAAAGAGCGCACTTGGCTCGCCATGGCCCGCATACTCCCAGCATGCAAAAGTTAAATCAAGGACAGAAGGAGCGCGTTCCTCTCGCTGTTCTCAACCGTACTTGCCATCCAAGATGCAATAAATGCATCTTGTAATCACCTAGAGCATCACCTAGTTCCACTTGCATGCGCTGTGCCGTTCGCAAGAGAGCAACTCCAGCACACTGCCTGCCTGTTCAGATCAGTTGATTTGCATGGAGAGGAGATGGCAAGTAAAGAGAAGTTATTGGCATAGGTTCGGCATTGCGCAAGAGGGGGAAGTTCCGTTTTTAGCGACATCCATGATGTGGGGATTAAATGCCAGCATCCCGGCCTGTGGGATCTCCTGACTTCTTTGATGGAGTATCACGAGGGACTCCGTCCGATAAAGATCTTTGAACGTCGTTCGGAAAGGGACCAGAAAAATCTGATGTGCTCCTCGTCATGGGTCTGAATATGAACAATCATATATGTTGATTTGCTACTCACTCCATGGAAGCCGCTTCAGGGCTCACAGAGATGATGCTCTTGTAGCACTCTGAGATGTCAAAGGCCAAGGATGCCACTGCGGGCCCCGTTCTGGCGCATCTAGCCCAGCTGCGTGCAGGCAAGGTAGAAGTCCATGTCAAAGCAATGGGGTCAGCGCCTGCTTTGCGGCAGCCACGCTTCACTATTGATGGGTCCAAGAAGTTCTCAAAGCTGATTGTGTACTTGAAGGAGGCTTTAAAGCTGGAGACTATTTATGTGTACTGCAGCGATGCTTTCGAGCCTTCGCCCGATGAACGCTTGTCGGACTTGCAGAGATGCTTTGGATCATCTGGGAACAAGCTCAACATCAGCTACTCAGGCGAGCAAGCCTTCAATTGACAGATGAAGCATATGCCTAGACCTGAGTCGCTCCCAAAACCGTGGACAGGACAAGCAAAGCTTGCTCTTCAGTAAAAGTCACAAGTTAGGAGCAAGGGGACTTTAAAGAAGAGGATGTGCACGAAAGCTGGGAGGAAATCTCAATGAGGCCGGTCCAGATTGGTGTCCACTGTTTGCAATCTACTTATTCAGTGCCTTGTGCTAAACCTTGGACGATGAATTAGATTTAAGATGGCTGTCAACTTGTCGCGCCCGTCTATGTTGAGATATCTTCTGGGAGTCGCACGCGTGCCCCAAATCAAAATAGTCAAATAGACTGCTTTCCGCTATATTTGCCAGAGGTCCACGAATCCATGCTCAAAAAAATATATGTTGAAAATCGAATGACAGATAATAGGATTTAGGAAGATGAGTGATAATATGTACATGGATGTCCAGAGAATAGTATACCTCAATATTACGGCACGGCCACTTGCGGCCATTTCGACGGCGCGCGGTCTAGCCTTTCCGGCTCACCTCTAAACAAATGCCTCCTGCGGGCTCCCTAGGGACTTAAAATCTCGGAGATTGTAGAGCCCTTCAGAAAAGCTAGAGCTTCTAAAATCTCCGAGATTTTTGGTTCGGGCGACGCGACCAAAATTCTCGGAGATTTTTGGTCGCGCGGTCCTTGCCTCAGGAGCGGTCTTCCGCCTGATTTATTTGTCTGTTTGGCTATCTGCGCGGCTGGCTGGGAGCGGAACGCGTAGGCGTAGGACGGAGAATGATTGGCCGTAGGTGTCTCCTTGGTTCTATGCGTCTCTCCGAGATACCGCGCAGATAGTTAAATGATTTAGAAAGATTGGATCGGATGCGGGGGCCGCGCGCTCAACAATCTCTCGAGATTTCGAATTATTT